AATACTTGCTTAAGTATTCTTGTGCTTACCTTTTGGTATAGGCAGAGAAGTCACGTAGTATTGATTTCGAGGGCAGGGCGCCTACTCTGTTACACACAACACTTAAACGTGTTAGAAAGATATAGAAGAAGATTCTAAATCTAATAAAAGCACGTAGTATACTAGGTTACTATTTAATAGTAAGTAATTCAAGTTACTGTAATATAAGTTGGGCGCGCTAAGAGATGTTGACTAGTCTGGTGATATGACTGGCTCAGTGATAGAGTACGTTAACTACAACTACTTACTATTAAACAGTAACCTAGTATACTGCGTGCTTATATTAGATTTAGAAGATATTTCTATACCCTCCTAGCACATTTGTGTGTTGTGTCTAGTCTTGCTACAGTTCCTACAGCGCTAAACAGTTAACTAAGCTCCTAGTTACATCGGGAAAAGTTTTTCCGTTGTCGAAATCAGGAAAACGTGGCATTGTACTGTGGGCAACAGTAGGACTTCATCGGGAAAAGTTTTTCAAAATCTGGCCCAGACTGGCTGTTGCTGACAGTTGTGGCATAGTTGTGCAACAGCTGTTTAACAGCCTTAACAGCCCTAATTTGCGCCTAATAGCCCTAATTTCGCGCTAATATTGCTAGCAGCTAAAACACTAAGTGCCTATATTTAATAAACTTAAAATAATATTGCAATGTTGTTACATAGCTACCCTTAGTTCTACTAACGTAAACCCCCAGCACCCAGGCCAACCCAGCACCTGGGCCATTTCTTGCCAAGACCACAACTATTAATATTAACACGTAATACCTTGCTAACAAGATATATAATTATCTAAATAAGAGGGTAGAATTAATCTTGCCCTTTCTACTTTCTAATTATATAAATTTAAAAGCCTCTAAAGCGCTGCTTAGGCATTTAACATACTACGTACAACCTTAAGTGCTAGGTATAGAGGCAGACTCTATATTAATAATAGACGTAACACATAATATAAGCTTATGCGCACTAAAGAGCAAACAATTGTACAATACATTCTTGACCTTAATTCGCAAGGATTCGCGCCCTGGCTGTGCAAGGTGGCAGATATGGCTGACAAACTGTTGGGTGTACGCGGTGGGCAGCCTGTTAGCAAGTACTGGGCTGAGCGCTTCGTGACGCGTTTAGCTACGCTCAAGATGGCCTTTAATCAAGCTAAAGATAGGCAGAGGATGCTGCAGGAGGATCTAGAGACAATTAGCGCGTGGTTTAAGCTAGTAGAGGACACAAAAGCTAAATACAGCATACATAACTACAACGTGCACAACTTTAATAAGACTAGCTTCTAGATAGGTGTTATTAGCTAAATAAAGGTTGTTACAGGCGCAGAGAGACATAATTAACCTTAGCTTATTTAGCTAGGTGATTGTAAGTGGGTAACAGTTATCTAGAGCATCTGCGCTGCTAGATCTTGTACCCTGCCTTTCATCATCTACAAAGGACGCGTTCACATCTCTGCCTGGTACAAGGAGGCAGATATACCACGCAATTGGAAGCTCTCCGTCTCTGAGAGCGGCTGGACGAACAACGCGCTCGGCCTTGAGTGGCTGAAGCACTTCGACGCGCATACAAAGGCAAGCCAGGTGGGGGCGTACAGGCTGCTCATTTTGGACAGCCATAAGAGCCACCTTAACTAGGATTTTAAGGACTACTGCCTTAAAAACATAATCCTTACTCTCTATATGCTACCTTACTTATTACATATCCTCTAGCTACTTAATATAGTCTACTTCTTACTATTAAAGTGCAAGTACTCTTAGTGTGTACAAGACTTAGCACACAAGCGCGTCTTCTATATTAATAAAGAAGGCTTCCTCCCTGCCTTTAAGGACGTGTTTTTTAACATGTTTATAGCAGAGAACTGTTGCAAGGCCTTTAAGGCAGCAGGGCTAGTCCCTCTTAACATGCAGGTTATGTTAGATTGCCTTAAAGTGCGCCTGCGTACCTTACTAGAACCCCTCCTCCTAGAGACGCTGTAGCAGTTAAAGACTCTAAGCAATACCTATAAGTTTAGATCTTAGTTAAAGCTTGTACGTAAGTCTTTTACTTAGTTGCCTATTACTGCGCAAGCAGGCTTCTCTTAGCTTGTTAGAGGCGGCAAGCTTATGCTGCATCAGAACGCGCTTTAAGCAGCCTAGATTACTAAGCTTGAAGAGCAATTAGCAGTAATAACTAAGCGGAAATCGCGCAAAAGGAAGCAGATCTAGCAAGGTAGTACTATAGAGTATGGTGAGGCAGCAGCTCAGGTGGCTGCAGAGGCCTCTGTAGCCGCTGAGCGGTCAAAGAAGGCTTGTGGTAGTAGTAATCAAGAACAAGCTTAACCAGCTCTACAGCGCTGTAGAAACTGTAGAGGGACTAGACACAACGCGCAAATGTGTAAAAAAGATATAGAGGCATATTCTAAATTAGATATAAGCATAGTATACGCAGGCTCTATGTTAAATAGTGATGAAATTGAAGAGTTGTAACGTGAGTTAGTACTGCCAAGCTTTTTTGGCCCGGGTGCTAGGTTGGCCTGGGTGCTGGGGGTTTATGTTAGCACTAGTATTAAATATTTAAAAATTACAAAATTTTATATACAGATAGAGCAAAATTGTAGCTTTAAATAAGCAAAAGATTATTGTTATAGGCCTACTACAACGCAAGTTATAGAGTGTTGAAGGTTTGTTTGTTAAAGGTTTCTGTTTTGAAGTTGCGACAGCACACCATGGCAGCTGCAGCTGCGCCAGCACACAATGTATCAGCTGCAGCTGCAACAGCACACGACGTAGCAGCTGCAACAGCACACAACAAAGCACCTGCTAACAAGCACACACTGCAGAACAGGCAGACCTAGGCATAGAATTCTTAGTTTACCTACTATTCTTAAATAATATTCTTATATTTTCTAATATTTAGGCTACTAGAGCCCTAGTAAAGAATCTTAACTTAGTGTCTTAGCAAGGAATATTAAGCTTAAAACCTTCTACACTTAATAACTATTCTATTAATAGGCCTATAATATTATTTAATAGCTTATTTTAAAGAGGAGACTTAGTAGTATATTAGTATAATAAAAGTATAGTTTATTAAGTAGAGCTACTATTATAGCAGGATTAGGAGTTATTGTAGCTATTACAGCTGTTAGGACTGTTAGAGCTGTTAGCTTAAAATTAGCTAGACATTAAATACACATTAAATAACTGTTGTAGGCCTACAAGTCTTACTGTTGCCCACAGTACAATGCCACGATTTCCCAATTTCGACAAAGGAAAAACTTTTCCTGATGTTGTAGGCCTACAACAGTTATTCAATGTGCATTCAATGTCTAGCTAATTTTAAGCTAACAGCTCTAACAGTCCTAACAGCTGTAATAGCTATAACAACTCCTAATCCTGCTATAATAGTAGCTCTACTTAATAAACTAACGTGGTTCACAAGCGAGTCGCCCACCCAAGTGAGTCGCCCACTAAACACCTCCGCCCCGCCTGCGCAGCAACAACGCGTAATGCCACAACAACGCAACATGCAAAAGACCTATACTAAAGGAGATATATTTATTGCTATCTCTAATATTAAGTCTAAGCAGATACAGAGCGAAAGACGCGCTGCAGCAGTCTATAACATCCCACAAACAATAATCTAAGACCAACGCGCTAGACAACACCCTTAACGCGACTGCAAGCTGAAATTAAAGCGCCTTACAAAGCTAGAAGAGGAGGTGATTATACAGCATATACTTAAAGAGAGTCTATGTGGAATACCGCCCTTAAAGGCGCATGTACAAGATATGGCTAATAGACTGCTAAGGGAGTGTGGTGGGAAGCCTACAGGCAAGAACTAGGTTAATAACTTCATTAAGCGTACACTAGAGCTGCGCACGCGATGGAGCTGTCCGTACAATTGCCAGCAAGCTGCCTGCGAAGACCTAGCGCTTATCTAGCCCTAGTTTAGCCTAGTTTAATTAATAAAGACAAAGTATAGTATTAACGTAGATTATCACCGAGCCGGCCATATCACCGAACCGGCCACTTTCTCTTAGCACAACTAAGACAAGTTACTGCAACTACAACTACTCGCTATTAAACAGTGACCTAGCATACTGCGTGCTTGCATCAGATTCAGAAGATGTTTCTGCACCCTCCTAGCATGTTCGTGCGTTATGTCTAGTTTTGCTGCAGTTCCCACAGCGCTGAACAGTTGACTAAGCTCCTAGTTGACCACCTCCACCCTAAGTCTTCTTAGATAGCTGAGCTGCTACACACGCCTCAGCAGCTACCCGCGATGCTGCTGGGCCATACTCAAGTGTGCCACCATGCTAAATCTGCTTTCTCTTACGCGATTTTCTCTTAGTCATTACTGCTAATTGCTCTTCAAGCTCTCGCACGCAGGCCTTAATAAGGACGTTTTCGTGCAGCATCTCTTTAGCCCCTTTTACAAGCTTTAAGAACCCCTCTTGCA